CGTCACATAGAAAGGTGGACACTACAAACAAATACAATTCTAAACATTGCAGCTTTAAAATATTTTATTTACTAATATTATATTATCGTTTATTATTATTTTGGCTGAATGAGGCCCCATCATTAAATACATTTGCGGATCACCTTTCTATGTGACGACTGTGATATGTAGTCAAATCAAATTGCTGGCTGGCTTTACTCACATCTTGATTGCTCATGTCCCAGTAGGGCCTCTCTCCATATGACATCACCTCCCACATGACTATGCCATAGCTCCAGCAGTCACTGGATGAGGTGAACTTCCTGTACTGAATGGCCTCTGGAGCCGTCCACCGGATGGGAATCTTCCCTCCCTGGAAAAAAACAAGTGTAAAGGTCAACAGTGGCACAGTGGGCCGAAATACATGTGTCATTCCATCACTGATGTTTTTCTAGAAACCTATAGGCCCATCTATTTTGTTTGTTTTATGTCCTGTTTTGCTTCCAGTAATTTACTTAAATTCATAATGTAAACTCCAAAGTAGTCCAATATTATTTAATTGTTTTATTCATTTAGTTTAATTTATTATTGAAATTACTTTTTTAATCAAATCCAATCCAATCTAGTTAGTTTTCATGGTCCTATGTATAGATTTAATTATGATTCCACATTCACTGAAACAGTCTGGTCACCTGTCAACCCTGCCCTGCTCTTAGCTGAGGAGTTCAGTCTCTCAGGAAAAGAGTCTCCAAGCAGCTTTGTGAAGAGCTCTTAAAATCAAACACAGCCATTGAAGTCTGGGATGAAGACTCACCAGAGCGCTGGTGTAGGTGGGGTCTGATGTGTCGTCCTCAAGGAAGCGGGACAGGCCGAAGTCAGACACTTTGCTCACCAGGTTGCTGTTGACCAGTATGTTCCTAGCTGCCAGGTCCCGATGGACGTAGTTCATGTCACATAGGTACTTCATTCCTGCTGCTATGCCGCGCAGCATTCCCACCAGCTGGATCACTGTAAACTGCCCATCATTTTGCTGTAAGAAAAATAACCAAACATCAAGTTAAACTTTGTCTTTTGTGATGACTAATGCAAATGACTGAACACAAATGACTGAACACTCCTGCATAAATTTGGAGAGACTGTGAACATGTTGCTGAAGTGAAAGAATAACCACAATCGGTAGCCATGTGGCCAAACTCTGTCCTGAACAGAGGATCAGATGGGGAGGCTGTGTAACGGGATAATCCTCAAGCTTGTAAGGAGTTAGGAGTGAATTCAATTTGAACCAAAACCTGAAAGTTGATTGCAGATCTGATCGACTTGATTTAGAAAACAAGAGACTCTTCTGAGGTGAAGCGAGATGGATTCAGTTTGATGCCTGTGGAGGTAAATGGAGAGAACCAGAGGGAACCCAAGAAAGCTAGCAGAAACTTTGATTATAGAATAGAGGCGAGATGGAGAGAAAGGTGTCTAGAGTGTCAGTGGCGTAGTTACTAGTTACCAAGCACACACACCACACACACACACACACCTACACACATTTTGCACCTAAACTAGCTACCGTATATTACACTATAGTCTCGACTCATGGTCAAACATTGGACATCATCAACATAAATAATAATGGCATATCTGTATATGACAAAATATCAAATAAACTATTCATATAATTGAATTTTTCTTAGTTTATGTTGGATAAGCATAACATTTTGTTGTAGATTGCTACTGACTATTTTACCCCCCTCACCCACCCTCTCAAAAGCTACTTGAAATGTTCTCTGTAGGAGATTGGTTATCTGAGCTGTGATACAGACTGTCTGATCATATCAGCAGCTTGAACTTGATGACTCGCCTTGATTTGTGGGCTTTCAATCAACTTGAGCCGGTTCTATCAGCTGTAAAAGAAGATGAGATGTGATTGAGACCACCTAGCCAGCCCCCTGTTCCCAGAGACCAGCTTTCATGAACTGTCACTTTAATGAAGCAAAGTACACACAATGCAGGACAGATACATTTATACAGTACTAAGCTGCCAAACGTTTAGATTTGTTCACCACATTGCTACCATAGTATAGCTTTACCATGGCCGTTGTGTGTCTATGTGCATTTGCAGACTGATTATAAAATGTACTGAGAACCTCATTGCAGCAGGTGCAGTACAATGCATGAGCTGTCAGTGTGTCCTTTACCCTGAGGAAGGAGTCCAGGGATCCGTTTTCCATGAACTCAGTGATGATCATCACAGGGCTGCTCTTGGTCACCACCCCCTCCAGATGGATGATGTTGGGGTGGTCGAACTGGCCCATAATGGACGCCTCGCTCAGGAAGTCCCGCCTCTGACGATCAGTGTAGCCGGCCTTCAGCGCCTTAATAGCCACCAGGGTCTCTCTCTTCCCTGGCTGCCGGAGGTTTCCACTGCACACCTCCCCAAACTCACCTTACAGGAAGATGAGGGCAGTCAGTGGACTAACAATAAAGCCTTGATCTAAAATTTCGAGTTACTCTATCACTATCAGTGTTTTCTCTGACATAGTCTTCACAGGAAAACTGTGTTTTTATCTCATTAGACAGTAACATGACATGTTGCATTCATATGGCGAGGCCTGCCCTGATGTACTAAGCAGTGGGTACCCTCAGAGCCCTGCTGAAGAGTTCCAGTAAGTACCCTAAGATGCCCTCTGTTCAGTCCTCACTGCCTTTATCTGATACCATTTCCATTTTCATGCACTGTTTTCATTTACCTGCACCAATAACTTGTTCAATCTTGACACAAGAAATGTCAATCTCCTTGGCAAACTCTCTGACTGCTTCATTAGGGTCCTCATACGTGAAGGGGTCGATGTAGATCTTCATTCCTGGTGACACTTCAACAGAGAGATAGAAGAGACAGCAACAGCTACACACACAACTGAAACATACCAGCATCCTGCATTTTTTTTTACATATTCTCCCAAATCAACGTGTTGTGCACAGTAAACAGTGTTACTTACTGTGACCACTGGTGTAATGTTGGAGTTTGTCTGTGTAGTCTGATTCTGGTCTGTCAGGACTTCTCCTGCTGAGGACAAAAACACAGAGGCTTGCATGTCAAGAGATCCGTCCCCATGAACTGTACAGCTCCGTCCACTGACGACGTGTGATATGGATGAAGCTCTGGAAAAATCTGGTAACTGGACCTTGAGTTTTGAGATTGTTTTGCCAAAACACAGGCAGTGAGGTTTTACATCAGTAAAGAAGAACTTATGTCTGATGCACAGCACTTTGTTTTTGAGCCGTTGTGGTTTTAAACTTAAAACCTTTTATTCATATCGTCACATACAATAGTACTCAAAACAACATAGTGAAATGGGACCTCTGCATTTAACCCATCCTAAGCATTAGAAGCAGTGGGTTGCTGGGAAGCGTATGGGGAGCAACTTGGGATTCAGTGTCTTACTCAAGGATTTAGCGAAACGTGGCGTGGAGAATAAAATATTTAAACTTTGGACAGAAATGCCATCCACCGTTACCGTTGTCGGTATTCTCTTATGTCCCCATGCACTAACATGATATCCGGTTTATACCATAATACTTGATTCCGTGGGATTGCAGCATAATTAAAGGTAGACCCGCACTATCCCGAGCCACAGCCGCCACAGAATTTCTATTAACAAGTGAAAGGGGATATATATAATATTGATTTATACACCTATTATTTCACTATTTGTGCATTTAACAGTCATGTCTATGTTTTACCTTACGTGTACAGTTTTGGTGTCCTTATCCAAAGCTTTTATTTCTATTTTAGTACATCAAGAGAGATAAAAAAAAAAAAGTTGTCCAATTCCTAGTATCTTATTCATGAGTAATTCAATTCAATTTAAATTCAATGTGGCTTCATTGGCATGACAGTTTAAACTTTTTAGCATCTTTTAGTTCATTGTTTTGGTTTTATGGCACATTCAGTGTGAGGTTTAGTTTACTGCAGATAGTTTGCGACCATTAGGTGATACTCTTTTAACGGTACTTAAATGGAAACACACATTATTATATTGTTTCACGGCCTGTAACATTACTGGCTCACCTGCGGCAGACAATTATGAAGACAGTGATGGCAATGATGAAGACTACGCCTGCAGCAGCAGAACCGATGATGAGTGGGAGCTTCTCCTGGATACTGGAGTTATATTCTTCTACAGGTGAAATGACAGAAAACCAAGAACTGTGACTCATGTTCAGTGATAGATGAGATCACCTTGTAGGAAGCACCTGGGGCGAACGTATGGGCGGATCTAGTTGGTCAGTAAAACTGATTGCCATTCCTACCTTCAGTCATAGTTTGGAAGTACATTTTGCCACTAAAGCGTCCAAATCCAGCAACAGTCCGAGCCCGAACCTGGAAGACGTAGATAGTTCCAGGCTTCAAGCCTCGTATGACTGCTGTGTTGGTCTGACTCCTGGTTAGAGATGAGTTCCACTCTGCCTGGTTCTGAAAAATAATCAGACAAATGGATTTAACTAAAATCACTGGAGCAGTAAGATTGAGACTTTAGAATCAGGAGTCATGATGTCTGTATGAGCCATCTTAATAAGTGACTAACTCTTCATCATCAGCACTGATGTACCTTCTCATAATACTGCAGCTCATAGTCCAGAATCACTCCATTGGGCTGATCAGGCTGGGACCAGGACAGGGTGACGCTGTTCGGGGCTCGGCCAACCTGGTGGATGATGGACACTGCTGATGGTGCTGAGAAGAAAACAAGGAGAAGTGAAGTTAGAGGCTGTAGAGAAAAAACTGACCACTGAAACTAAAAATATAACTGTTGGTCTTTCACTCAAAGAGAAATCAGGCCTGTAAGACGTTGGGTTAGACTCACCAGCCTGGTTGGTGGTGATGTTGACGGACGTGTACTGTGGTGAATAAGGACTCTGGTCAGACACTCCATTGACAGCTTGTATTTCAAAGGTGTACTGTGTGTGAGCCAGGAGGTCGTTGATGTGGACGCTGGTGTCGGTTAGTCCCAGCTGACGAGGGACAAACTGCACGTTGTCTCCACAGCGGGTGCAGCCGCCCCGCCCACTGCCGCAGCTTTTACATATGATGTTGTAGACAACGTCTTCTCGGCCACCGCCCTCCAGTGGGGGGCTCCACTCCAGCCTCAGAGAGGTCTCATTCACGATGGAGATCACGTTCTGTGGAGCTGATGGAACAGCTGGAAGAGAACAGGGTGTTATACTAACACTGTATTTTAAAACTTGTAACACTGATTCATTAGTATTTATGTACTTCTACTTTCCATCACTACAGCTTACTGCCTCTTCTGGGTTTATTTTCAGCCTGTGTTGTTTAACTAATACCCAACATATGACATACATGAAATAAACACCTCAGATTTACTTCTAAAGAAGAATCTTTAACTTTAAAGCACAGACCTGAGTGGTATCCATGGCAATAACTCTCATGATGTGTATACTTGTTTACAGAAACTGTGAGAGGCAAGTTAGAAAAAATGTATTCTGATGATCCAGTTTTTAAATCTGATGTATCTTGTTTTCTCTCCTGTGCTTATGACTTAAGAACAGGTGAAAAAAGTTTCTTATGTTTTCCTTTTATCTGTAAAACAGTTGAAAAAAATGTTTGGCAGGTGAAATGTTTTTTGTGTGTTTGTTCTTTTACTACTAATTTCAGCCACAAGAGGCTGAAGTGCACCCGTCCCAAGTTCCAAATAGGACTAAAGCATTCCATGTTTTCTTTGATGGCAGATTAGGGCCTATTAAAATAGATTTCTAGCCAAAAGAGAGACATGTAGGCTCGTCCAGTCCATGTCGATGTGTCCTTGGGCTCCTGAAGGCTGTGCCTACAGTGTTTGAATGGGTGTCAATGGTCCTGATTGCCAGGTGGCACCTTGCATGGTAGCTCCTGTCATCAGTGTATGAATGGGTGTGAATGAAGAGCTTTGAGTGGTCGGAAGACAAGAAAGCAACGGATCACAAAACTACAGTTCAGATCATGTTCGTCGGATCGTCAGATGGATAGGTGTTCAGCCTTGTGTATACATACTTGTACAAGGCATCTGTGAAGGGTCGGAGTCACTGCGGTAGTAGCCGTTGCGACAGACACAGTTAGTTGCTCCCTCGCTGGTGGTTCGGCTGTTTATGGGGCACTGCAGACATTTGTAGTCTCCCTGTGCAGCCTTGAAGAAGCCTGATCCACATGCTGTATTGGAGATATACAGCAGTGGATAAGAGGAATGACAGAAAAAAGAAATGAGACCAGCAAAATGCATGATAAAATGCACTATACAAGAAGAAAAAAGGTCCACAGTGTCAGTTTAAAATCATGTTGGCTATTGGCTACTTTGGTATCAGAACCATCAGTATTAGTAGTCAGATTCAAAAATACTCTGTCCGAGCTTTTTCATCTCTACATTTTCCCCGGAGGGCATATGTTAGCCCAGACATCTGCATCTCATCAAGGTCAGCTCATCGTAGCGACATGTACTGGGACTCCTTCAGATGCTGTCAGTTCCACTGTCCACAGGATCATAAGACATGTCAGAACACGGTCTGGGATTAGAAAAGACATGAAAGACAGAATAGGAGAAAGCAAGAGAACTGTAGTATTTATTACTATTTTCCTTAGCAGACCCCTGTGACCCTCTAAACCAGGGGTATTCAATTAAAATTCCAAAAGGTCCACATTACTATTATCAGTAACATTACAATAATGTCTAACTTGCGCTATTTAGTGCCATATATATATATATATATATATATCCTGCAGCTTTAAATTCACTTCATTCAGGTGTGAAGTGATGTCAATCAAAAAGCCACATTTTTCTCATATTCTAACAAGATAAATCAGTGAGCATGGACTTTATCTGTGGTTATTAAACCACTTGTTTCAGCTCTATTCTCTCTGTTAACATCATTGGACAGTGAACTAATGTGTTAGGATTCTGATCATATTGGGCTCTTATGTTTATTTTCTGTCTTCATTTCAGATGTGAGTGGGTATATTTGCTCAAAAGAGTTGTGCTTTGTTTCGTATTGTCGCTTCATATTCCCGCTTTTAATAATCGCCACGGTCTCTGAACATGTGAGACCTACTGGTTTTAAACTGCCCATGGGAAGAATTAACATATAAGAGTCTGTTCATTATTGGTTGAAGACTCTGGTCTCTCTGGTCATGTGAGATAACTTCTCTAACTAGAGAAATTTCCCTGCTCTTCCTTCTGTTTCCTCGTCTCTCCCCCGTGTGTCACGGTGTGTGAACATCTCACTCGAGTCAGGAAACTTGTCAGAATACCCATTTTGATTTGCTGAGATTGGCTGTTTCCTGCACCGCTGAACGAGTGCCGTAAAGGTTCAAAAAGATGCGCCGGTTAAAATAGAAGCGCTCCATCAAAATGTAATAATTCTCAATTATCTATCGGTTTTAGGTCCTGGGTCTGGATACAACGGCGTCTGGGTCTGGATCCGGACCGCGGTCCACCTATTAGGGACCCCTGCTCTAAACGATAAGCAGGTATTGCTAATTCGGTTAAAAAAAGATATCTTGATACCCGGCTGCAACCGCTGTTTCTGACACGTGAAGCCAATGCTGACATGTCTTAAAGCTGCATTCTCTCTAATGTCCATCAGGGGGCGACTCCTCTGGTTGTATAGAAGTCTATGAGAAAATGACTCTGCTTCTCTCTTGATTTATTACCTCAGTAAACATTGTAAACATGAGTTCATGGTCTCAATCTCTAGTTTCAAGTCTACTTCAATACAGCATGATGTTCATTTAGTAAATGATGGTCCATTTAGAGTCAAACAGACCATAAAGCAGGGTATGCTTTAGGGCGGGGCTACATTGTGATCGACAGGTTGCAACCACGGCGCTGTCTGTTCTGGGAGTTGTCCATATTTTTGTCTGAGCACTTTAAAGGAGCAGTGTGTAAGATTCTGTAGCATCTAGTAGTGAGGTTGAAAACTGCAACCAACTGAATAACCCTCTGCTCACCCCTCCCTTTGCAAGTGTGTAGGACAGGGGTGTCCAATACGTCGATCGCGATCAACCAGTCGATCGCAGAGGTAGTGCAGGTAGATCGCATGCCATTCAAAAGAAATTAGATGTCCGCATGGCATTTTCCACTTGATTTTCTAACACACGGGTCACCACGTATGCGCGGTCAACCGCACGAGCTACTGCAAAACTCCGGCGAGCTAATTAGTTAGCCTTCCAATTTATTTCTACTAAAGAAGCTAAAGCTGCAGCGCCATGATTTGGGAAACTTCCAAAACCTCGCGTCAGAACTGGAGACTCAACGGAAGGCGTGTGAGTAACTTGACAGTGCGCGCTACACAGAGCAGATTGACAAGTGTCTGTCAGAGTTCGACAAACGCTTTCGAGACTTTGCTTTACTCGAGCCAGTTGCTACACTTATGTGCTGCACATTTCGGGAAGATATTGAGGTTGATTTACTCGCATCAAAAATTGTAACGCTGTTTCACCTGAACTCGTCTGGAGTGGAGGATGAGATTTTGACACTGCAAGCTGACATTCAGCTGAAGTCCAGGGCCCATGGACAGTTTTCTCACAGAGGAAAAGTACCCAAACATGAGGAAATATGATACCTTCTTGACTGCATTATTCAGCTCTACATATTTATGTGAGTCAGCCTTTTCCCACATGAAAAACATTAAGTCCAAACACCGTTCCACCATGACTGATGATCATTTGAAGTCTGCTTGAGGCGGGCTACCAGCAGCTACTGTCCGGACTATGCAACTCTGGCCAATCCCATTCAGTGCAAGTCATCAGAGTAAGGTAATGACCAAAAATGTACAGAATTGTATTGTGCCATAAGGGTTCATGCAGTTATGCAAGGTATGCCAACATATATTGTAAATATAAAGTATACTTAGTATATATATATAGATATTCAGCATTTTTAATGTAGGTAGATCATTTTGACTTCGTCATTTTAAAAGTAGCTCACAAGCCGAAAAAGTGTGGGCACCCCTGGTGTAGCAGAACTACTGTGGCCTTCAGGTTACGAAGATGCAAAACGCTCTCTCTTGAGCTAGTTTTTAGTTTGTCCGTTCTGGGCTACTGTAGAAACATGGCAGTGCAACATGGCGGGCCCCGTGAGGAGGACCCGTTCACTATGTAGATCATACCTGGACATTGTTCGGCCCCCGGGCCATACCCGGCCCTTTGGCTGTCGCCAACTGGCCCGTCAATGGGAAATTAGGAATAAAACGTAAATAAGTGTACATCATGCACGGAATACCGCTGCATTGCTCTATAAACTTTCATTGTTATGCAGATGATGCCCAATGATATCTATGTATCAAGCCAGATGAAACCAACCAGCTCGCTAAACTTCAAACATGTCTTAAGGACATAAAAACCTGGATGACCTGCAACTTCCTGATGTTAAACTCAAACAAAACTGAAGTTATTCTATTAGGCCCATAACACCTCCGACATCAGTTATCTAATGATATAGTTTCTCTAGATGGCATTACTCTGGCATCCAGCAGCACCGTAAAGAATCTCAGAGTTATCTTTGATCAGGATTTGTCTTTTAACTCTCATATAAAACTAATTTCTAGGACTGCAATTTTTCACCTACGTAATATTAATAAAATCGGGCACATCCTGTTTCAAAAGGATGCAGAAAAAAACTAGTTCATGCATTTGTTACCTCTAGACTAGATTACTGCAATTCATTATTATCAGACTGCTCTAATAAGTCTCTTAAATCTCTCCAGTTGATTCAGAATGCTGCAGCTTTACTAACAAAAACTAAGAAAATAGATCATATTACTCCTGTATTAGCTTCACACCACTGGCTCCCTGTAAAATCTAGAATACAATTTAAAATCCTTTTACTTACCTACACAGCCCGAACTGGTCAGGCACCATCATATCTTAAGGAGATTATAGTACCATACTACCCTACTAGAGAGCTGCGCTCCCTAAATTCAGGGTTACTTGTGGTTCCTAGAGTCTTAAAAAGTAGGATGGGAGAGCCTTCAGTTATCAAGCTCCACTTTTGTGGAACCAGCTTCCCGTTTCAGTCCAGGGGGCAGACACACTCACCACATTTAAGAGTAGGCTTAAGACTTTCCTTTTTGATAATGCTTAATTATAGTTAGGGCTGGCTCAGGTTCGCCTTGGACCAGCCCCTATAAGCTGCTTTAAGCCTAGACTGTCGGGGGACTTCCTAGGATACACTGAGCTCCTCTCTCCTCTTATTCGTCTCCTTCTGTATGAATTGATGTCCCATTAATGCTCATTACTAACTTTACTTCTTCCCTGGAGTCTTTGTGCTTTCTCGCCTCGCAGGTTTCCATAGATCGTGGTTTTATCTAGACCCTGGTCCTTCCTCCAGCCATGGTTCTTCTGACTCCCACTGCTAATATCATTTTTATTATTACTCACATTACTATTTTATACTACCGATACCATTAATGCTCATTACTAACTTTACTTCTTCCCCGGAGTCTTTGTGCTTTCTCGCCTGCCAAGTTTCCATGGATCCTGGTTATACCTGGACCTGGTCTTGCCTCCTGCCGTGGTTCTGTCATATGCATTGAATGTGTTGTAACTCTGTTATGTTGTTCATTCTGTACACATGACATCAAACACACTTCTGTCCATACTGATAGAGGGATCCCTCCTGTTGCTCTCCCTAAGGTTTCTTCCTCTTTTCTCCCCGTTAAAGGGGTTTTTGGGGAGTTTTTCCTGTTCCGATGTGAGGGTCCTGGGACTGAGGATGTCGTATGTGTACAGATTGTAAAGCCCTCTAGCTAAGCTGCTAAAGCAACATGCTCAGAAGATGTTGGTTCTCTTTGGATCCACCTACATATGTGAACAAACATTCTCTGTGATGAAGTTTAACAAATCCAGATACAGAGCCTCTCTCACTGACCATCACCTGTCAGCTGTCCTTCACATCTCACCTCACACATTCAGCCTGATTTCAGTGCACTCGTTCACTGAACTGAAAAACAGAAAATTAGGTAATTGGACTACAAACAATAGTAATAATTACTAAACAAATTTTGCAGAAACATGATCCCTGTCAGTGTTTTACTATTACATATGTATATTTGTTTGGATCATTCTTCCTGCTGCAGATGTTTCAGGTGGAGCTCATTTTAACTCCTTCATACTCTGTTGTTCAGTTTTGGTAGTTAGGAAAGGTTTGAACAATTGTAATGTGCAAAGTAACTAGTAACTAAAGCTGCCAGACAAATGTGGTGGAGTAAAGAGTACAATAGTTCCCTCTGAGATGTAGTGGAGTGGACGGGACGGCGCAGGTGCTCATCCAGGCTCTTGTCATCTCCCGCCTGGACTACTGCAACTCACTACTTGCCGGAGCCCCGGCGTCGGCCATCAGACCTCTGGAGCTTGTCCAGAAAGCTGCAGCTCGTCTGGTGTTCAATCACCCCAAGATCTCCCACACAACTTCCCTTCTCCGTTCTCTACACTGGCTCCCTGTAAGAGCTCGCATCCAGTGTAAGACTCTGGTGCTAGCCTACAGGGCAGTGAAAGGAACAGCTCCTTCCTATCTCCAGGCCATGGTCAAGCCCTACACCCCCGCCTGACCACTTCGTTCTGCTGCCTCGGGGCGATCGGTTGCCCTGTCGCTCAGAGGTCCCTGCGGCCGATCGACCCGGTCGCGGCTGTTTCCTGTCCTGGCCCCACAGTGGTGGAATGAACTCCCCACTGACGTCAGGACAGCAGAGTCGCTGCCCATCTTTCATCAGGCTGAAGATTCACCTCTTCAAGTAGTACTACCCTGAGCCTTCCACTTAGCACTTATTGTATTCATATTAGTTTGTTGCACTTATTGTATTCGTAT